GTTGATGGACACTTAGGCTCTTTCCATGTTTTAGCTATTGTGGAGAGTGCTGCTATGAACATTGGGGTACATGTGCTCCTATGCATCAGCACTCCTGTATCCCTTGGGTAAATTCCTAGCAGTGCTATTGCTGGGTCATAAGGGAGTTCTATTGTTAGTTTCCTGAGGAACCTCCACACTGTTTTCCAGAGGGGCTGTACCAGTTGACATTCCCACCAACAGTGTAGGAGGGTGCCCGTTTCTCCACATCCTCAGTAGAATAGCTTTAACTGAAGTTACATTTTAAGGGGTTAAGGAGTATGCGGGTGGTAAAAGTTGAAACTGTCAATTTTCAGTAAAGGATGCCAAAATGTAAAAGAGAAGACTAATCTGACATATCTAAAGATTATAAATGCCCAAACATATTATTTTGGGGGGACGGGAGGAGGAGCAGGGATAGAAACTCTTTTCTAACTCATTTGCGCATCCCCAGCCCCTGGCCTACAGACATGCTTAATAAATGCTTATTGAATGAGGGAGCCTTGAATTTAATCAACACTGAATCGCTATATGTTAAAAATACTAAACATGTAACAATTATTGCAGTGGTAATTTGTACACTACAACTGGGACCATTTTTTTCAAGATAAACATTTACATTTCTTGTGGAATTGTTTGGGGAAGTAAAGTGAGGTCCTGCAGCAGGCCTTGCTATGGGGACCTGGCCTTGGGTACCCCACAGAAATGCTGGCCAATAACTGCTTTAAGTTGTACGTGTCCAATGGCAGGCACTCAGCTGTCTCCAAAGTACTAACTGATGGTTTTCCTTTCAGTTAATGAAGAACTGTCACAGACTACCAGTCATCACCAATACAAACGCAGGGCTGGCTCTTCCCAGTACCAGAGAATGAAACAAAGGTGACTTGGGGACTGGTCAATGGCTAAACACAGCGAATTTCTATGGGTCAAAGAGCAAAAGTCAGCAGCTTAGCTAATAAAGTAAGTTAATACACTCAAACAGCAGCAAAAATAGAAAGAATGCTAAGAGGCTTGTTCTTAACCACATTGAAAAGTGGCAGCTATTATCCAGAGAGACATCTACGAGACTCAGTTAAAGAGCAGTTCATCAGAAAATACAAAGAATATAAGATTTGCTTGGATGTGGACTGGGCACTTTGCAAGTTTTGAGCTTTTATAGGACTCTGTCTACTCTGATGGACACTATTTTTTTAAATTTTTTAAAAATGTTTTTACTTATTTTTGAGAGAGACAGAGCACAAGTGTGGGAGGGGCAGAGAGAGAGAAGACAGAGAATCTGAAGCAGGTTCCAGAATCTGAGCTGTCAGCACAGAGACCAACATAGACCCAAAACCACGAACTGTGAGATCATGACCTGAGCTGAAGTCAGACGCTTAACCAACTGAGCCACCCAGATGCCCCTGATGGACACTATTTTTAAAATAAAATTCTTTGGAAAAGTGTTTTATTTAAGTAATCTCTACACCCAGTGTGGATCTCGAACTTACAACCCCAAGATCAAGAGTCACTCAGTCTACTGACTGAGCCAGCCAGGTGCCCCTTGAAATAAAATTCTTAAGCATCCTTATTACATATTCCCAAAGAAGCATATATTATTCTGATTTTACAGGTGATGAAATTCTGGTAGAGAGCAAATGGATAGCAAAAGATGAGTGCCCTGAGAGCTCTGTGGATTCCTCCTGCACATGTATTCCCACTTCTTCACTTACCATGTGATGACTCTTAAATGGCGCTCTTTCAGACATCATTTCCGGCCCTGAGTTTGCTTCTCTCCCTTTCCCAGCTGCTTTCACAAATTGCATCAGCCTGGTCACAACCCACAAACCAAGCAGAGTCTCTCCATACTTGGTACAGATCACCCATGAATGCAGATTTCAGCAAGAAATGACTTGGAAATGCTGGCAATTTGCTGTTGGGCAAAGGGAAGAATAGAACATTCATGTAACTCCGATGGAGACGAATTCAAGCGTTTGCTTCTAAAACCAAAACATCAGGGAACTATTTCTAAATACAGAAAGAAGTCGACATTTCACTAGCAGAATTCTTTTTTCGGGGGGAGCCCCAATGGGACAACATAGATAAATAAAAAAGGGGGGGGGTAGTTAAAATAGACTGCGATTACTGTTGTGCTCTCCAGTTTTCTAGTTAACATCAACAAAAGATGCTCCCCACGTCCTAAGTGTGAGTGCGGTTATATTCCAATCATTGCATGTGAATCTAACAAGGTGTTAGTGTGATTAACTTTATAAAACGTAATGAGTTGGGCCACCTGGAAGGTACGCACCGACTTCTGTAGCGACGTACAATCTTACAACAGGTTGTGTGGATGACCAAAAGCAAGAATGCACTCTGGTGGTTATCTTTGCTCCCCCCCCCTCCCCGCTCCAAATTCTTCACACGCATCCAAAGTCATCAGCCTCCATTTGCACTTCTTGTATAATGTGAAACTCAAGTGTTTGAAGACATTTCTGTGTTTTATTGCAGTTAGTTACAATGGAAATGTCTGCTGGGGCTTTCAGACGGAGGTAATTTAAAATAACAGCGCTCGTGCCATATGGAAGGAATAATAATATTCTATCAGTTCTGGGAGGGATCTCTTTTTAGCCCCTGATGGAAATCAGATTATGTAAAAATGCTTTCCTGCACAGAAGGCGTGGAGGGATGTAGCGTATTCCCAGCTGCCAGCCAAATCTGTGGTTCGGCCACCAGGGTTGGCTCGGTCCTCTTCTGGAAAGAGAGGGGAGGCTGGGTTTTGGCTCTGGTGGGCGTCAGTCCACTGCCTCTGCCTTTCCAGGGAAAATGCAGCCCAGCTCCTGCGGTAAGACGGGAGCTCCAAACGTACGTTTTCAGGGATAAGCATAACCAGGGAGTTTAAAGCAAGACCCATTTCTTCTGTTACTGTGGAGAGTGCTTTCCAATGAAATCCTGAGTAGATTCATGTTTTTTATATGTAACGAGAAAGAGAAACATGTTGTAGTTTCTCCACGGAAAGACCAAGCCCCAGGGTGTTGCTATAATCTGCTTGAAGGCACTGCTCCTCAATTTGTGAAATGCACGGAACACGGCCAGTCAGCTTGCAGTCATGCCCTTGCTCTCTTGACAGAGTCCAGAGTTGAAGGTCTTATTCCTGCTTGGGTTCCTGTGGTCCCTCTGCATGGCTCCTGCCACCCAGACCCAGCTGCTTTCTCCTTCCATTAGCCTACATTCTGTCCCATCCTGTGCTCCAAAGCCTCTCACCAGGGACCCCAAGTGCTCTCTCAAGGAACCCCCAGAATTCGTAACTATTAAAACGCATTTTGGAGGGACGCCTGGGTGGCTTAGTCGGTTAAACATCCGACTTTCACTTAGGTCATGATCTCGCGGTTCGTGGGTTCGAGCCCCGCGTCGGGCTCTGTGCTGACTGCCAGCTCAGAGCCTGGAGCCTGTTTCAGAGTCTGTAACTCCCTCTCTCTCTGACCTTCCCCTGCTCACGCTCTCTCTCTCTCCTAGAAATAAATAAAACATTAAAAAAAATTTTAAAACACATTTTGGAAATTAATTTTCTGACTTTAAAAACAAGTTTTAGAACAAATTCTCCTGCGATTCCTGCTGACTTTATAGTGTGCTCATCGGAAGAGACATCTGAGTTTATCAGAATTTACACAATGGTATTTGCCCTGGCAGATGAATGACAAAAAGAACAGAAAACATGCAAAGTATTTTATTGATAATTAACACCCAACAGATTGGGAATTTAAAATATTCTTTCTACTGTTGTTTTAATTTTTAAACCCACATTCCCAAACCCAGATTATTAAGAACAGAGGTTCCAATCTTTCATTTATGTAAGAAAGAAGCCTTGTGAGAATTTGATATGAAAGCCAGGAATTTATTCCTAAGAAACATGCATCTCCCCACAATTTTGCATACATTTGGGGGAAAGTTCCAACCCCTTGAAATCTGTCCAGGGGACTGTGGTTAGGAAGCGTGCAGCCAGTGTGTTCAAGTATTTGCACTGCCTCTTACCCCAGCAACCCTAGCTGCCTGCACGTGGTAGACGATGAGCAGACCATAAGACCCCTGACATTGTGGGGCTCTCAGGAAGTGATGTCCACATATCTCCAAAGCTAAACCTTCTCAAGCTAAAACCTTCTCAATAAACGTCTCAACCCTCTAATAACACAGAATTCTAGGAAAAGCCCTCAGGACACAGCCCAGACTGGCATGATCTTCCATAAATTTGCCAGTAGTGGATTACCCCATGCACGGTGCTGTTATTACTCACAATGACTATGTTTTGAGGGCATTATTGATCTGGGAGCTCTGCTAGGCATTGGATACATTTTTATTTCATCTAACCACCAGAATATCCCTCCACTGAGGTGTATTAGTACCCTCACTTTAGAGATACTTAAGTGCTTTCATTAAAGTCACACACTTCAGTTGCTGAGCAGGGGATTCAAAGGTCTATCTGCAGGATTCTGAGACCTTGGTATTGGAAGCAAAGTATCATTTTATACAACCAGAGGCTGCTATAAATCTAATCTGGCACCACAGCTATCCATAGGGTCAGCGTGTTTGACCCTGTGGCCAAGGGTCAGGAGTGTGGCACTTAGGATTTGCCAGCTGGCCATGTTCTCTTCCGGAGCCAATGCCATACCATGGCTTAATCCCAGCAAGTGCATGAACAGGTGCACACAAAAATCTGTCCAAGGCCATTTTCATATCTGTAAAATTAATCAGGGAATATTCCCTACTCTTACTGTCTCAGCAGTAATATTCACATGTCCTCTCTCCCCTGCAAACACGGAAGACAAGTGGAAACTGATCGGGACACCATACAATGAACAATGTATTCTTCTCTAAGAAGAGAAGGGTTATTTTTTTAGGGTATTTTTTAAGCCTTTTATTAGAGAATACTTTAACGGAATGACATAATAAACCCTTACTTACCAACACCTGGCTTTAGCAATGATCCACTCATGGCCAGTCTGGTTTCATCTAAACCACAACTCACTCCTCCCTACCTATAACTGGATTCTCAGTGAGGTTTTCAGATATCAAATAATTGTGTCCATAAATAAGGAAAAATACTTAATGAAGTCCATGGTGGGCAGTAGTTATGGCTACCGTCTGTTTCATTGCTGGAGTCCCAGTGATAATTATTCCATGAACTGTGCTCTATGCAATGAGTACATCTCCTAAAGGAAAACAGGAGCTACTCTTGATAGTGAAGTACCAAACATCTATCAACTCTACACACATCTAAAAACCAACCTTATGTTTTATCCAGTGGGGGCCTCTGGAAAATGCACTGTTTCCTGCATTCCAAACAGGATCACTATAAGACTTATGCAAAATGTTAACTATAAAAAAAAAACCCATGCAACTAAAAGGCATTCTTGCTTATCACCCTACAATTATATTGTTTTCAAGATAAACAATTAGCACCTGGACATCTCACCTCAATGAACCTTGTTGACCTGCTTTCTTATTCTATCATTCTAATATTCTATTTGGGGTTTTGAAAGCTCAGTTTACAAACAAAAATTATAAATATCCTGAGAGAGATTTTCTAAGAAATATAAAATACTAAGAACAGCCGCCTTGCTGTTGCAACTACACATGGCATTACTTAATCAACACTGGTCCCAGCTGCTCCTTGGGGAATAAGCCCCACAGATGCTCTAGAAGTCTCTGGGACCCCCAAGCCCTGTCCTTCCAATCTCAGCAGAATAAAACTGAGCCTTCACTCAAACACTGCATGTTCTAATTGCTGATGCTAACGTAGACACTTCCTATCAGTGCAATTATCACTGGAAATATGGACAGAGCTGGTTCTCAAAAATCTCTGGTAAATCCAGCCTCTGCTTTAAATATGAACATTATACATACAAGCGTTCTGATGCGAACGAAATATATTCACAAAACCACATTTGGTTCCATAATGTCTCTAAGGCTTGGCTGCTGAGATCGGCTTCTTTAGAGAGTTGTTTCTGTACTAGTTCTGCAGGAAGTGAGAAAGACCTTTCACAAGGTGAGAGATAATTCAGTGGGAACAGATCTCAAAGAAGACGGTTATGCAAATTGTATCTAACACGCTCACTTCAAATGACTAGAGAAAGTCTACATAACATTTTAAAACAGAATATACCCTGTTGGTCATTTGCTGTAGAATGTTTTCAATGGTTAGAAGAAAACTCAGCATTTAATGTGTCTCGGCAATAGTTTCACAATAA